CATTGGTGCTGGGATCCCAGTGTTTTTTTTTCTGTGTCTAGAAAGAGGCAACATTGCCAATGACGATCGTTGACAAAGAACTGCATAATATTACAACAGTAGAGCAATATTATTTAAAATGTTTATGCTTATAAGACAATAATATAGTAATACATCAAATTACATATATATCAATATTGTAATCACTGCAGTAATTGAGATTAAATATAATTATTAAACTATGGTGCAGTTCCATACTGAATAGATACAGCAGGGGGCAGTATTGGACCAATACAAGGCTCCATTGACTCCCATTATAATTTATTAAACATTAATATTTCAAAAATTACAAGTTATACAGGCACCAAAAGGCATAGCCATCATTTGGCACAGGAGCTTTACAGATAAAAATTACAATGACAGCTCTAGCACAAAGTATGCAGGAGGAGAAGAGTGCCAAAGTTGAGATGACTTGCGTGGGAAACGAATCACAATAATCTTCAGTTAACAAAACAAAAACATCAAATCTTTCTAGAACAATTTTTTTTGGATACACAATATACTATTTCATATATTTCTTTTCAACAATCCAACCTTCATCATTCTCTTAAACATGTACAGTGATTTGGCACTTCATTTTCCAGATTATTCCACAATCTGACTCCTTGGATTGAGGTGCACCGTTCTTTCAGACTRGTTCTAAATTTAGGTTTCATGAACATCTCTGTCCCTTAAGATTATAACAGCTCTMTGTCTACAGAGTTCATCTGGATGTTTAAAGGTGATGTGTTTTTGTGAGCCTTRTACATAACTAACAGAATGATATAATCAACCAGATAATAAAATTTCAATAATTTCAGTTTAAAAAATAATATATTAGATGGATAATAGGAATGTTTTCCAGTCAGTGATAACTCTTATATGTGTAATTATCTTACACATACATACCTCAACACAATAGATCAGGTGTGGAAGAATTAATGTGTTATATAACATATACAGAGATTTATCATTAAACAAGTCCCTTAATTTGTGAAGCAATGCAATAGTTTTAGCTTGTTTTATTCTTAATAATTTATGAGTTCTAGGGCTGCACCGATTAATCGACAGCTAATCGATTATTAAAATAATCGATG